GCCACTTAGCTGGTAAAGGCAGTGAGTGGTCATGTGCTTATTCATTTACTGCTAATCAACAGGATTCACATATCTGAAATCCCTAGCATTCAGAAACCTGTAAGAGGATTCATGCACGTGTTCTACTTTATGCTGCTGATTTGCAAAACAATGAGGCTAGTAATGATGTGAAAGATTTAACTGGCTCTCCTTGTGTCTCCTCTATCTGAACTGATTGTTATTTGTAAAGAGGAATCTTTGGAAGCCTGCGGTCCCCACAGGATGCTGAACAGCCAGGCACTGGGTTGAGGATGACATTCTGTGTCAGGGATCAGAAATCAGCCAGTTAATAGCTGTGCACTTAGAATTGCCTAATATTTTTTCTCGTTAAAGGCCAATTTCTAACATATAAAGTCATTTTCTCATCCTTGATGTACTATAGACTGGAAGATTCTTTGAAAATAGCACTAGTTTAAATGATTTCTTTCTAAAGTACAATAACTTGCTAAATATTTTACGCATCAAATCATTTTATAATTTAGATTTATGTAATCCAGACCCAAGAAATACAAAACAATTCTTGCCAGTCTATATTAGAGATTCAGATTTTGCTCTATTATTTTACAAATGTCTGTAATAACAAGATTTTGCTTCAGTAAAATAAGAGTGAACCAATTTTTTCTCCCATTGTCAAAAGGCTAAATTTGTGCTGTTTCCACTGACACAAGTTAATTATTCCAAGAAAGAGTTGATGTAGTCATCACTTTAATATTTTTCTAGTTACATATAAGAATATTTAAAAATCTCAAATATTAACACATGAAAAAGTGTTATAAGCAAATATGTTCCTGTAGGTTTTGAAATTTTAAATTATTTAATCTAGGTAAAGAATGACAAATTTCTAGCAAAATAAAAAAAACACAGAGGAAGGAAGTTAAATTGTCAAAGACATAAATTAGAAAATGTTATTGAATCATGCCCCCCCACACTAAAATATTCTCTTCCTTTCAAAATGATTTAACCAAAACATGTTTCAGTTATATATAACGTGAGGAAGGAAAGAAAGATGAAAGGGAAGGGAAGGGAGGAAAGAAAAGAGAGAAAGAGAGAAGGAGGAAGGAGAGGGGAGGAAAAAAAATTAAAAAAAAAAAAGACATTTTCTTAAACCAGAGTTCAAAGTAGTATCTCGAAATCTTCTATCCGGAGATGGACCTTTAAACATTGTCTTCAAAAAATCATGGCTAAAACGCTCAGATCATTAGTGGTTTATCAAATCCCAGTACCACTAACTAAAAAAACAAAACAAAAAATTACATCTGCCACTTTCTTCTACTACTCATTTCTTCTCCCTCCTCCTCCTACACAGCTTCTGTGCTTGTGTTTCACTTTCATAATCTGTTCATAGTGAATTAAGAACATTTTGTTGGCAGTTCTCCTTACCTACGGGGTGCAAGATACATTGGCCTCTGTGACACTGTCAGACCCTTCTTGGATTCGTACAACTGCTAGTAAATACCATTGCTTCCCAGGCAAGCGAGAGTGAAAAACCAGAAACAACAGCAGGTGCTGGATCTGTTGGAAGGAACATAGTTAAGAAGTGTTGATGACTCAGTGACAGTTCTATTGATCAGGTCTGGGTTTTTTTTTTGTTTGCTTTTTTTTTTTTTTTTAGGATATGATGCAAAATAAATTCCTCAGCAGTGGGGGCCTCATGACAATGAGATTTACACATTGCTATTATTTTTAACTTGTTTTGTGAAATGTGATGCTACAATTACTAATAATATTACAGAATTCATTTTGAGTCTGTTAGCTGAGAGCCCAATAGCTGCCACCTGATTAAATGTGGAAGCCAGGACTTGTAATTATTTTTCAATATAGCTTGTAGTTAGTTTCTCTAATGATTTGAGCAGTTTTTTGTTTTTTTCAAATACACTCGTATGCATACCAACAAAGCATGTTTTGTTCTCTAAAGCTGTTACTCAGCTCATTTTAGCCAGGTAAATGCCTAAAAAGAGAAACAATATTTTTTTACCTCAGGGTGATTAGAGTATTACATTGTATTAGTCTTCATTTAAAAAAAATAAATTTACAAGGTCACAGTTGTCCGTTCCTATCAGCTGGGTAAATAAAAGGCAAGTTAGCTGACAAATCTTCCCTTCTCTCAGGGATTTTTTTTGTTTGCTTTTTTGTCTGTTTGCTTGCCATTTAAGGAAATAACTGAATTAAAAATAAATAAATAAATAAGTCTCACAATAATTTCCCCCAAAACATCTCACCTTGACCAAGGAGGTAAATTTTAGCCAAATAGCAAAACCCACACACTCATTTCATCAATAAGAAAAACTCTTTTAAGGAATCACATTACTTAAAAAGTAAGCTATTTTCATAATTTTGATAAATTGCATAACCTCTTTCACTGATTTCTGTCATATTTTATGAGCCTTGATTTGCCTCTTCTGTGGTTTTCACCATTGGCCTGACCAAGTGAGTAGATGACCAACTAGAAAATCCTCAATTTACCAAGATTACTGCTTTGTGCTTCCTATAGCATTAGTAAACATATTTCTGTTATTTTAGAGAGATAAAGACATCTAGAAAGAGAAAACAATTCATATTCTTGGAAATATCCACTTTATGTATGTCTCCCAAAAGGGTATTTAAAAGTTGTTTTAAAAGTCCATCATGATGAATTTCTATTCACACTGTCAACTATTTATTGAACAACTATTAGCTATGTAGTACTGCATCGCACTACCAAGAATAAAAAGATTTCAATTTATTGACTCTTAAAAACTGTTCAGTGCAGTTAGGAAAACATATAAACAGAAAGTATGGAGGAAGAATTCACAAGTCTAGGGCCCTTTACCTGAGTTAGGAGCTATTCAAGTTCTCTGCATACCTTACCCATACAACAGCCCTGTGATCTTGGCACTCAATGGCTCCATTTTAAAGATGAAGAATCTGAAGTTTGGTAAACATAATTCAGTAATTTCAAACCAGCGCTAATAAGGGATGAGATTTATAGTCAAACCTGTGTTACCGAGGCAGACATCAGGATTCTCTTATAGTCAAAGTGCCTTGGAAGTCTTGATAAAAGAAACCCTGTCTGGCCTGAAAGATCAAGGATGGTTTTAACAGCACCTTGCCAGATAAATCATAGCGGATAGGTAATCATTGGAGGCAAATGAGCAGAACTGATGAAATGACAAACAGAAATTTATATTTAGGGACAAGGGCTTCTGAACTGGAGTCAATTGATAAATTATAGATGATAGATAGATGATAGATGATAGATAGATGATGATAGATGATAGATGATAGATAAATAGATAGATAGATAGATAGATAGATAGATAGACAGACAGACAGATAGAATCTTAGAAATGAAGATTCAGTTCAAACAAAGGAAATCATTGGATGTCATAAAAAGTCATATCGCACTATTATGGAAAAACCTAGATAAAAAGCAAACCCAGAAATGTATATATTTCTCACATGTGAATAATGTAATAAATCCTTTCTATACTTGTTTTTCTCCACAATAAACATAGTATGAGTACTTTTTCTTCATCAATAAATTATTTTCACATTTTACAAACGAATTTATTTAACCTGTAGCCTGATTGTAGCTATTTGGTTTGCTCTATTTTTTCTCTTTTGAATGAATCCTTAAAACAATGCTAAAACGAATATCTCTAATTATATACTCTTGTGTATGTCTAATTATCTGCTTAAGATAAATTTTAAAATTTAGATTGTGAAGCAAATACTGAACACTCAAAATGGTTTTGATATGTTTTTTCAAACTATAGAAAGTTTCTACTAATTTTTATTTTTACTCTGCCAAATTAATTTCCCCTGAATATCACTTTCAAAGCATCACATATAATTTTCATAAAAATTATTTCCTCTTTTTCTAACCTCAGTTTCTGAAAATGCCTTCCTTACTCTCACCTCCACATATTGAGTGTTAATATAACACCCCACTCTTTGTATCTATATTTCAGATTTCTTTCATTCATTCCCAGATTTGATTATTCATGAAATTCAGATAAAAACCTTTCCTATTCTTCTGTCTCTATCATCTATCATCTATCTATCTATCTATCTATCATCTATCTATCATCTATGTATCTATGTATTTATATATCTATGTATCTATCTACCTATAATTTAATTTTATTCATTCATTCACTTATTTATTTATTCACTTATTTCTTTATTCACTTATTTATTCAACAAAATTTTTGAGGTCCTAGTGTGTGTTGGAATTGCATATACTCCTTGGATACAACATTTAAAACACTCTGATTTTTTTTATTAAAAAAAATTGAAAAAATTGAATTGAAAAAAAGATTATTTAAAGGTTATCCAAAGAAATTTTTAAAAGCCCAGAGTTTCAATATCTTCTATAACCTTTTTAAAAAATATTACCTATATGCATATCTGACAACAACACTGAATGAATTCACATTTTATAAACTTCCATTGTCGGGATTTTTTAAATTTAATATATTAATTTGACTCTTGATTACCACCTCTTATTGTAATTTATTTTTTACTGCACGTTAAATCTTTACTTTCCAGTTTTAAATTCTTGATTTGAATAGAATGAAATAAATGTAAGTGAAATGTGAAAAGATAGAATAAAATGAATAGATGTGTTAGTCTCTCTCTTTTTTCTCTTTTAAACTGAAACATATATCTGAACATGTGAATAGGAGTTATAGTATAAATGACAGAGTAATCTTAGAGATAACATGAGTCAAAATTTGAAAAATAAAAAATTATATATTTTCAGAGGCAGAATAATCTAGGATTAAGTAAGAAATAACATGTGTATTTTTCCTGGGTGTTTTGCTTGGCTTATATGACACACACACACACACACACAAGTTATTCCATTATCATATATTTTAGAATAGTAATAATTTGCATTCTCAAGAGCTGATTGTGAAGTTTGCATTTCCAAGAGCAATGTGGAAGAGTTTTTTTTTTTTTTTTTTTTTTTGAGAGAGACTTATCTGCTGGAGATGGAAAGAGGAATTAAAAGCCTGTGAACCTAGGCCAGAAGTTTGCAGAAGATGAATCTTGATGGTAACAGCAACATAAAGACATTGAGTAGGTGAAAATTATTCCAGAAGCCTCTGTTTAATGATGTCCTGGACCACACATTTTTACACAATGACAAAGAGTCAAAGAGATATTTTTCACATCTTTGAGGGAGAAATCAGCAAAATCGCTCCCTGAATTTCTACAACACTACTTGTCCAGTTTAGAGCCGTAATCTTCCTGGCCTCCTCCACCACTAAGCCCAACTCCAGTGTAAGGAGGTCTTTTGCAGTTAGTGCCGCTCCTGACCCAAAGGCTTTTTAAAAGCTACCTTACCCCTTTGGAGATGCTTCAGGGTTTAGGTTCAGGCTGCAAGTGAATCTAAACAGTTCCTATAGTATATCGATACACAAAGAACAAATATATGACACGACAACATGTATAGGTCCATCTTGGGGTCTTTAAGAACACCATCTGAGGAAGATGAGGAGGTGCAGAGTCTCGGTTAACATTGCACAGCTAACTCTTCACTTATGAGGATGTGGGTAATTTCTGATAAGTGTCCAATTGTCATCCTGAAATAGGTGACATTGGGAGCAGTACAGGCTCCTATAGTAAATGATTAATGTGTATTTTTCTGATCCTGACAGATTCCAAAAGAAGAGCAGATTGCTACCCATAAAACTAAGCAGACTCAACGTGGAATTACTGGAAGAATCCGAAAATCTTTGCAGAAATGCTGTGCTTACTCCAGTGTTTCTCAAAAACTAGCTATTTTAAAGGGACCAGGGTCAATATAAATGAAATAAATGGAGGCCGAGATAAAATATGTCAGAAAATTTGCCGAAAGGTTATTTTAAGGTGGCATGTTAAAAACAATAATGGGCCATTAGGCTGTCTTGTTAAAGGCATTAAAGTCACAGGCACAATGTATGAGTCACATGGGCAAGATTTTCTACTTTATATATAAAAACTTCAATATTGAATTTCTGGTAAAAGTAAAATGTTACCATTTCTGTGTATATTATAAATATTTAAGTTTAAATTGCAGGCAACGGAGTAAGCAAAGTATTAATGCCTCTAGGAATGTGCTATCAAAATGCTACATATTGTAATATTACAATACAGATTTGAATGTGATTTATCTTTATAATTAAGTATGCACTTAAAATATCTTTTAGCTGATAATTCTACATGAAGACATACTGCTTTTTACAAGCAAGAATCTCTTTGTCAAAGATAGTGGTCATTGAATTATTTTTAAAACAAAATTTTAAGCACCTCCTATGACTTAGATAAGGTACTAGACAATTTATAATTTAAATGATTTTTAAGAAATAATATCCTCACCTTCTAATGTAGAATGAGAGACAGGTGCTTAATATGTGAAGTGTATGCCCCATGAGCATGTCTTAATTTATTTTGTCTACAGCTGAATCTCCAGGACCCATAACAAAATCAATTACATAGACTATATTCAAGAAACATTTGTTAAAAAAACAGGAATTTTTAATACATTCTTATTGTTTTAAAATTTTCATGAGTAATACATTTTTATAGCCCTGTCTGTCTGTTATCCATGATTTTGGAGCCTATATCTTAACTTATTAATTTACTTTCTTAATTTAATTTTGCAATAATTAATATTAAAGAAATCTTGCTTCTATGAGCTCTTTATGGGCTGTTGAAGATAAAGAAAAATATACTTTTATGGGACACAGAACTCTTTGTGATGGATTTGTTTGGCTAGAAAACTTTGCCCTTGCTTTTTTGAAATTACCTATTTATTGATTTGAGTTTTTTTTTGTTTGTCTTCTAATTTTTAGTTATAACTGTTAGTAGTATAGCATCAACAATAAAAAAGACTAGATATAAATACAAATATAGCTAACTCCCATTTAGGTGAGTTTTATGCTACCTAGTTAAACCGCCAGCTTCTTCCTGATGGAAATTCAAGATCTTGGCTATTTTAATTAAATAGTGTACATCAGATATACCATATGGGAATTTTTTTTTTTTTTTGCTTACAATATTTATACTGCCACACATAGCCTATTTAATTACTTTCTAAATGTCTTGCATTGTCATTTTTTTAAACTTTAAACTTAATTGAAAAAAATCTTTTTATTTTTTTTATTTTTATTTATTTATTTTTTTATCCACCAATTCTCAGGAGTTTAGAGAGGAGCTGACTCTTGAGCCCTGTGCTAGGACACTGTAGAGTCCCAGCGGGGAAGCTGGACCGTGCATACTTTGGAGCCTCAGAACACAAATTCATGTCTTGAATAGTGTGGGAGAGGGGATGTTTGAGAGTTAAAAGAAGGAAACATAGTATGGCAGAGGCTTCAGATGCTAGAGCTTACAGATGCTTTGATTACAGGAAACTCATATAAATGATGACAGTACATAGAATAGATGTGGAAGGGAGAAGAGATACCGGATCACAAGATATGCATCTCTACTCAGAAAATCATGGGTGCGGTTACCGAAAATAACTGATGGGAGTTTTGTGATTTAATCCCATTGACCGGATCACTGAACAGGACATTTTTCACTTCCATTTTTTGTATTTTGGCTGACCTAGGAAATCTCATGGTTTTGCTGTGCGGCACATGCTTTTAGGAAAACCTGTTATTTATGCTGCTCTGCACTGCCCAGTCTCCCTATTGAACAGCTAGGCTTCAGAGGAATGTAGAGTTTCAGTGCAGCAAGCAAATGCGGGGAAATAATATAATGTTATATAGCTGGAGCTCTTGTGATGACAGTCCATTCCGGTGTTGGTGACTGGAAGGGAGAGGGACTGCCACCCAGTGTTTTCACAGTGCCTATTTCAGGCAGCTTCTAAATTAACAATGGAGAAGGGAGGTAAGGGAAGAAACAAGAAAGAAAAGGCTCCCTTTCCTTGAGGGTGAAAAATAATTCAAAAGTATCAAAAGTATTTGAGAAAACGTATGTAGTAATTCCTATTCCAAACATACATAAGTCACAAGCAACCTTATTCTTTGGTTTCTAGGCACATTTTTGAGTTTAGCACAATAGGGAGAAGAAAATTGGAGGTTAGTGAATCCAGTGGGGCAAGAGGTGAAGAGGACTAAATTTCAGTCAAGACAACAAGGAAAGTACAAAGAATATAGCTTCTCTTTCATGCGCTTTGATCGTCTTTCCTGTTTTACTCTTAATGAATACTTCCTGAAAACTAAAAATAAAACACTGCTTTCTATTAAGTTGTACTCTTCTTCCTAGGGAATTCTAAATGGGTAAGTGTGTGTTTCTCAACTATGAATATGACTATATATTTTCATACATATAGTTCACACATATGTACATGTATATGTATAATTTTCTTTTGCTGAGAATCAGGCAATGGACAAGAGAAAGAGGAAAAGGGAGATCATACTAGAGACCCAAAAGCAAACATTAGTTTATTTAAATTGCTTTTACAGTTCTAGTGACTGGTACTGAGCAAACTCAGTTTGGTGTATTGGAAGATTGCAGTCGTGGCATAAAATAGCACAGGTTCCATGAGAAGCTGCAGAGAGTAAGGCAGGTAGATGTTCACAATCCTCCATCTGGTGCTATAGAGAGCCTCTTCCCCAGATCCACATCATAGCACCTGGAAAGTAATGGGCTGAAAAGGACACTTACTAAGTAGGAGAAAAACATTCTATGTCAACAATGTAGGGGCACCATGTGTGCATGCTCAGGGTGAAACTTGGTTTTTCATTGTGGATAATGTGCCCGCAAGGTCTCATATTATTCTGACTGAAGAATAATAAAATGAGATGTTATCCCAGATGCTTTGATGCTTTGCTTTGAGTTTACTAGCTTGCTTATGCCACATGCAAAGGCCACACATGTATGCCTTTATAGTGCATGAACACACATTACTCAGAGCTGCGTTATCATTTCTTGATGCCAGTTCTGGATTGCTTACTTGCAGATGGGATTTTTGCTGTGGTGGAAAGACACTGATATATACATGGTCAGCGACTGTACTCATTACAAATAAACTCTCTCTAACAATATAATTTAAATAATCATATTAATAAATACATGATAGTCATGCATACAAGTCACCTTATCTCCCCCGCTGATGGCTTTGATTACTTTGACAGACTAAGATACGCTAATGATACAAATTAGGAGTAAGAAGAATTAAAAGGGTGTTTAACTCTGATGCCAGGCTGTCAATTTCCTATAGTGCTACCAACTTACAGATAGATGATTAAAGTTGTTTCATTTAGGAATTTTGAATATTTTAAAAATTGAATGGGTTTCTGGGGGAGGAAAAAAGAAAGAAAAATCTATGCTTAGCTAATTAGACATCCTATTTGATTTAACAATAGAACAAGAGTATTCTTTGAGTATTGAGATCATCCTACATTACTATAAGAGCTTACATTTTGCTATTAAAAATGTATTTGCAAATTTTTCCCAGTGGGTTTGTCTAGTTCCTTATATTTGATATTATTTATAACTTTTCTTTAATTATAAAGAGAAGTGGTCATTGACTCTATGCTAGATACTGTGGGTAAGTCCCAGATACATGAAATATACTACCTTTCTCTGAGGAGCTAAAATCTAGCAAAAAAAAAATGGTGTGTGTGCACAAACAAATATATATTTCATAGAATCTTGTGAATGACATAATAGTATAAACAAAGTACTCTTTGCATAGAAGTAATATGGAGCTTGGAATTTTTAGCCAGGCAGTGTAGTTTTAAGTCCTGATTTGGTCACTGTATAACTATATACACCTTGAGAAATTACTTTACTTTATTTGGGTTTCCATTGTATTATCTGTATGATGAGAAAAATAACACCTATCTCTCAGATATGGGTGAATATTAATTGAGCTAATACATGTGAAATGTTTAGAAGAAACTGGTGCATATTAATTGCTTTCATGATACCCAATGCTTAGCCCACAGATCAATTGTATCTCTACGGTTTTATGAATTTTCTTTCTTCTATCCTTTAGACTATAAACCATTTGAAGTCAGAGACTATATCTTCTTTGTTGTTATATTCCCACTGATTCAATAGGAGTTGAATAAATGTTTATCAAATAAATAAACAAATAAAAGAACAGAATGTTTGATAATCAGCTGGTTAAATAATATTTAGTTGTTTATAGGCTTTGGTAAGATCTGCATCCTCATCTCTATGGGATGGTCTCTTCTTTGAGGATATAATACTAGAAAACCTGTGATAGAAGTATGAGAAAGCAGAACCACTGTCCAATAGAATGAACCAATTCTGGGGGTTTGATGTGGTGACACATCATTCTCATTCTAATACATTATAATAAATATGTCAAAAAGAAGAACACTGGAAAAAGGAATAAATAATAACAAGTCCCAATTTCTAAAAACAATCAGAAGTTGCCTAAGTAAATTAGCACTCTTCAATCAGTATAGAATGAAAATGTAGTAAGAGGAAAAGCCCCACGCAGAAAGTTGGTTTCTTCACCCTCAGCCTCATCTGGAAATTTCCTGACCCTGGACAAGGGATTTATTTTCTGAGTTTCAATTCTGTGATTTGTAGGCAGAAAACGGAGGACTTAATTTCTTCTAAGTGTGAAATTCTGAGTTTCAGATGAATGTGTCTGCTTGTGTTACTTTGGCACAGTTAAAAGATTGTGAAAGTAGGTGGAGAGGAGTGGAGAGAACTAATGACACTTGCAGCCCCAATGTAATTTTTGTTTTTATGTGATTTTTTTTTTAACTGTAGGCTAGTTTAGTCAGCAATTAAAAAAATAATAATAATTTAAATATTTTGAACCACCATCCTTTCCTGGAAAATATAATAGACCTAGAACTAAAATTCTGTTCTTTAGCTAAATAAGTTGCAAAGCTGTATTTTTTTAATAAAATGCACTCTGATCGAATCAATTAACACTTACTAAACATTCAAATAACATGAAATAATAGATATGTTTATTTATTTCAGTTTAAAGTTTATCAGGCACATTTACATAGATAATCTCACTGTTCCTTACAACTATACAGAAAGATCAATGTGATCAATATCTTTGTTGAAACTTCAGATCTACCTCCATCCTTCTCCATCCTTTCTTTTGCCCGAGTAAACTAAGCTCTATGGACTATATGAATAGATTTTTTCTCCCTGGGAAAAGATTGGCAGATAAAAGGAGGAAGAGTGAAGTCCTATCCCTTATTTCTCTGATGCCTTCTTGTGAGGTTTCCTCCAGTTGGCTGGGGTCTGCTCTGCAGACCTCTCTTTCCAAGTTCTTCAAGCCTACGAATGGAGAAAACTCCAGGTTACTATACTATTCTTCGCAATTCCCCCACATCCCTCCCACATTTTTGTAATCACTATATTTTTAAATAAACTCTGATCAAGTTAACCAGATTGACTGTCATTTTCTGTGTTTTGTAAACTAAGAAGCTAAATTTCAGCCTTGCCTGAAGCTATTTCTTGAAAGTTTCCACAGAAGACAGGACTAGATTGCTGGAACATACAACCTCTGTTCATGCTGCTGAATTTCCTTTCCTGTCAGTTAAGCATATTTTTTAATACTCACCATATGTATTCTGAAAAGTACATTGAACATTCTGAAAAGTACAGAGAAATCTCCCTATTTTGTACAATGATATACACATGTAGCAGCAATATTTGTGTTAGAAAAGAACCCAAAGTACCGGATTTGAAACATAAAAATCTAGCCGAGTTAAAATATGGGGTGTGTTGCTTCCTAGATGACTGTCCTTGAAGAAATGACTTAATGCTCTGAAATTTAGGTTGTTCTCCAATGTAAAATAGAATTACCTGCCCTGACTATGTCATATATATGAGTTGTGTATTTTAAAAGCACTCTTGAGCACTCTGTGTGTGTGTGTGCATTAATTAACTATATTGTAAGTTTTTAATGTGGGAAGATGCTGTCACCATGAGAGTACGTAATGATCAAAACTTTTAGAAAAACAAGTATAACACACATTAAACAACAACTAACACTGTCAGATCTTATGTGATAAGTAGAATCTACGCATGTCAGGTACCAGCATTAACATTTCGGTAGATGCAGAGTGATTAAAAAGAGGTTTCTAAATTAGAGGTGAATGTAAGATCAGTCTTATGGAGCGGGAACAAAATTTCATTCAATTTTCACAATCAGATGTATTTTAGAGAATTTATAAATCCTACCTTTCCAGAAACTGAGAAATTAAGTAATTTATTTCAGCTGCTTGGGTCTACTAAGTCAGAATTTAAAATATTCTGTTTGGATATCAAAGGCATCCTTTAAGTTCTTTGTGTTGCTACTGGCGAAGCCCTCATTAGATAGAATTTTAAATGGCTTCTGATGAGGACAGTCCCTAGAGAGTAACTGATTTAGGACAAATAAATACAAATATTCTTCTCAAGCATACTTATTCAATTGATACAGGTTATTAATGCTATTAAAAAACATTTTACACTTAAAAATAGATAGTAAAAATAGCATATATAATATACCACTTTGACCTGATGATAATGATGGTAATGATGATGATGATAAGGGTAATGATAAAGTACAAGAGAAGAGGAGGGTAATAACAATAAAAATAATAATATTTAATAGTCAGTAAGTGTTCACTCTCAGCAGATAGCATAACTGACTTATATGTGTTACTTTATTTATCTTAATAACCTGCAATAAGACACTGAAATGTGTACTATAAATTACCATTATTTTTAAAATGAGAAAAAAGGTACAGAAATTATATTTCAGTTATATAGTTAATAAAAGTTTATGTCAGATTTTTAATCCAGAATTTTCTTTCAAGGATTATAGTAGACATTGTAGTTATTTTATTTTTTCTATGGTAAATTCTATCCCTCCGATCTTATATAGTAACCAACTCCAGGGCTGCCCTAAGCCTATCATTAAATGCCATTTTTCTCTCCAGAGGGATGCAATCCTTAATTAACAATGTTTAAATATTAACTAAGTCTCTGCTCTAATCTAGACTCTATTCTAGGCACCAAGGATACAGTAGTGAACGAAGCAGAAAAAAATCCCTGCCCTTGGAGAGTTCACAATAATGAGCCAAAATACGAGTACAATAATAATGCAGTGGTTACGATCATGAACTTTGAAATTAGATGACACAAATTCAAGTTATCTTCCACCACTTTTTATCAACGATCTTGGAAAATTTACTTACCTCTTTGAAATTCAGTTTCCTCATCTGCTAAATAAAAATAATAGTCTAATTTTAAACAGGGCCATTGTATAATATGAAATATTTATAAAGAGTTTAGCACAGGATTTAGAATAAGTGCTTGAGAGTGCAGCTATTTTTAAGCGTCTCATAGATTCATGTACAAAGGTATTGAAGTAGGAGTGATTGGGTACACATAAACACACCTCCAATTTCCTCTTCTTAGTTCATCAAACTTCTTTCCTGTATTTCAAGTATCTCTTAAGAATATGATTTCCTCCAGGAAGACATTTAATACTCATTAATTAAATTCCCACAAAAATTCCTTCACCAAGCTAATCAACACACTAATCCTTAACTCTTGAGCCTTAAAATTCCCTTAAATTAATTTTGTTTTGTGTCTGGTATTTGGTGATTGTCAGCCATGCTCTTTATACTGCTCTTTATACTCAAAAAACATCTGACTTGATTAGGAAAATTAAGTTTTCTGGCAGATTCAGAGAAAGCAGCTGGCTTTGTGTCTAGTTTTGACAGTGGTTTTGGGGAAATGTAAAATGCATATCTGTGGCAGTCACTGTGTTACTGAGAGAGAAGCCAGTCTGAAGATATGGCTGACACTGCACAAGGCATGCAGAGTGGCAGCATCCTGAGCGGCTAAAGCAAGTCAATCTTGATTTCCATTCAACCCCCAGATCTTCTGGTAATAAAGCCAAAAACTAACAAGCAAAACCCATCTCTACCATGTGTCATTTCAGCCAGTTTGAATTGCTTTCTTTTTAGCTGAAACATGAAGAGCCCCAACAAATACAAAAACTGCTCCCTTATTATAGGGTAGAACAATCAAGGAGTGAATATATATTTTATGCATTTTATTCAGTCAGGGCAGCACAATAAAAGACTCAGTCGAAGTCTCTGTGTATGTTTCCGTCTGCTTCTCAAGCCAACTCCGAGCTTAACATTGTACAAACCTGTAATAGCTCATGAAATGAAAGTGCTGAATCTTTGATTACATGGCCTCTGTTGTCTCTAAACGCTGCTTACTAATATTTAGAGAATCAAACACTACAACTTAAACTCTTAATCTTCAAGCCCTTTGCCTTTTGCAAATGAAAAATGCAATGAGGAAATAGCAAGATAGCTCACTACCAAAGAAATTAAAACACTTTCAGAAAGTTCTTAGTCAAGCCTATGTTATTTACAACTTTTTTTGATTTTCGGTATTAAATTCTTTGTTCCCCTTTTCTTCAACAGGAATACATTAATACTGTTAAGGAACTGTCATTGTCTTCCCTATCTCCAAGGAGCCTGTATGTTTGTGTGCATGTTTGTTTTTGCTGCAGTTTCCTAAACACACTGATATGGATTTCTGCTGTGGGTTGACTCACATAATTATATAAGTTCTTGTATGAATTCTTTTCATTTAAACATGCAGGGAAAAAATATGTAACAAATAATAAAATGCATGCAAACACTCATCGATCAAGAGCTGTCTGCCACTTCAGTGCTACTAGAAGTGTCCTCAGAGTGACAGCGAAAATGCATGTTGGCAGGCCAATCAAAGCTTTAGAAATAAAACAAAATGTTTCATATTGGACCCTCAATTCGCTAAGGCTGTGACAGCTGGGTTGCAATTTCATTTTTTACATTAGTTTTGAATTTCTTTATTAAATCATTTTCATTCTGACCTTTGGCTGTCACACACATGCCAATACTGTTGATGGCTATAAAAAGCAGTGTATCTGTAATCTCTGGAGAACAGTGCTCTGTAGACATATTCGTGATTTATTTTAAATTTCAATGACAATATTAGCATTTTTATTCTTTCAGACAATAAGTTATGTAACACAACATTAAAAAGTACTTTAAAGCCAAAAAAGAGACAGGAAAAAAAAACAATTATTTTACTTATTTAACCACTATT